AAAAAAAAAAAAAAAACCTTTTGTAGTGGTCCAATAGCTAATCCTCTTTTCTTTCTTTTTTTTAATGATAATAACTAATCTTTTAAGTCATGGTATTCCAACTTCCCAAGAGTCTCGATCGAATTCAATCTCTGGCAGTAACAACCCCCACTCATTGCAAGTTGTAATTACAGTTATAAAAGAAGGTTTAACCACCTATTCCTTTTCTCATTTTCATTCCTAAAATTCCTTATCGCGTCAAAGATATAAATAGTGTGGCCAATTGAATAAATTGTCTTTTAAAATTGTCACAATAAAATAAATTATCATTTAAAAATATTAATACAATTTATCATTTAAAATTTTTTTTAATTTTTTTTTAAATTTAATGATTTTAAATTAACAATAATCATTAAATTTTGTTGACTCAATGCACTCCAAGAAGGGGGTGAATTGGAGTTGGAAAATTTTCACCTCTTTGCAACCACCAAACAAAAATTAAAAAGAGAGTGGAGAAGAAGAGCTTGCACAATGATTTTATAGAGGTTCGGTCCAACCACTTGGAGCCTAGTTCTCTACCTTGGCTTCACTCACCAAGGATTTCCTCCACACTCTCCACTAACAAAAACAATAATGGCTTAAAGGAGCCACTCAATCCTTTACAAGAAAAATGATGTTTCTCTCAAATCTGACCCCTTTACACTTAAACCCCAAAGATCCTCTCTACAGATTACTCTTGAAGGAATCAACACACCCCCAAGATCACTCACTAATAGCATAAGAAGAGGATTACAAACAAAGATCTCTCAAATATCAAAATCTCTAGTTAAAGCTCATGTAAATAGGTAAAGATATTCAATACAATGCTCTCTAAACTTCTTCAAATCTGTTATCAATCACATTTATAGCCCCTTGCTCGAAAATAGCCGTTTCTAACCGTTGTGGGTCATTTAATGCTCTGTAGGTCGCTTAATTCGAGTTGCAAAATTGTCAGTAGAGTCGGCTTACACTTTTAGATCCGGCTCTATACAGCTAGCTCACCATTTCTGCAGCCGGCTCTACGGGTTTCCTGCATTCTATTTTCTCCGTAGAGCCAGCTCAAAAATTCTGCAACTGGCTTTGCAGGATTCCTGCACATTTTGTTTTTTTTCACAGCCGGCTGCAAAGTCTTAAGCCGGCTTTAGGATTCCAACTTTAAACATATTAAATAATCTTCAAATAACTCGACCGTTGTGCATTAAATTCACCCTCACAGCTGGCTGCAAAGTTGGAGCCGGCTTTGCGTCTTTTCTCCGCGCGCGCCAAACAACAATCCTTTAAATCTTTACCTGTAGAGCCGGCTGCAGCTTCTAGAGTTGGCTCTCTGCACTTCCACAGCCGGCTGCAAGTTTTAACAGTCGGCTCTCTGCACATTTTCAAGCCTTTTGGTCTATTTTTAGTGCAGTCCAAGTTTACTTATTTTGCAATCTTTTGACATTTTAACTACACACTTTAAATGAACCAATTAGTCATTCAAATGTGTCTTGTAATCATCAAAATCATAGGTACAACAATCTCCCCCTTTTTGATGATGACAAAACACTTTGAAAATAAATTAATTAAAGCACATATATATTTCAATGAAAGCTCATATGGAAACAGACATTTCAGCATACTTTCTCCCCTTTTTTGTCATCATCAAAAAGCAAATAAGCTTAATCAACAAGCTCCCCCTTAATTCATGTATACAACCTTTAAAGCATTAAAAATATGTGATTTAAACACAATATCCACAAATTGCTCCCCCTCAATGAAAGCACTTAAGATCATAATCGTCAAAATCATAGGCAATCATAAGGTCATATACATTTAAAATCCATAATTCATGATAATAAGCTAAGAAATGTGCATAGATAATGAGGGCAAATTTTGGGAGAGAATCAAATCTTGAATGTGAAGAGAGGAAAATGGCAAAATATTAAAAATCTATCACAATCAAGAGGTTTTGTAGTACACAAAGATATCTCATTTCAAGCAACTATAAAGGTAAAAAAATTCTCTCTCTTTTTTGTTATCCAACAAAAAAGTTTGAAGACCATATGAAAAGCAAACAATAGAGCTCCCCCTTAATAAAATGACTCATGAAAACATGAACATACTTATATAACAATCTCATTAGTAGCACCAAAAACAATGTTAATGCCATCATTAAGTACAACATGTATATTTCTTACCTTTGAGATATGTAATCATTTATCACATTACCTTTATAAGATCTCTCTTTTGGGTAGAATTATAACCTTTGTTTTTGTGTTTGTTGCATCTCCTCAATCTTGTTCTTTTCACTTGCTTCACATGGAGGTTGTGTGATGCTATTGCCTTCAATGTTCATTCTTATCTTTGTTACCCAATAACATCTACATCACAATTTCATAACTCCTTTTAGAGCAAATGGGGTTAGTCTCATTGAATACCATATGAATAGATTCAACACTATTACTCCTTTTTATATGCATCATGTCATATGATAGCAAATATCAAAAATTTTATTCATTGAAATCAACCATGACTAGGCAAACATTCAAGTGCATGACATACACTTGCACATAATCAAATATCATCAAAATCATCCATCAAAAAGCAAACATACAAATTTCCTAATATACTTAACTTTCAAGTGTAAGACTCTTCCTAAGATCATGCTTAACTTCCAAGTGCTATCATTAAAATTATGAAAATAATAAGACAAGTAAATTTGAATGAGACAAACAATGTTAAGTAAGACAAATCATCAACCATCTTCAAAGTGACACATATGACATTGAAAATCACTTATACCATCAAAAGCTCATTACGAACTATATATGATAGATAATCAATCTAATCATTCACATATGTCAAGTATGTAAATATGATACAAGTAATATCTATAACAATCAACAAGGTTGTATCAACACTAGAAAAAACACATCAAATGAAATCATACTCAACAAGCATATATATCACAGAGTCAGCACACATAAACAAATAATTAATAGTCATGTTAATGTAATTATACTCAATGAATAAATGCAATAAGATAAATAATACCAATTGAGCACATGAGTGGAGCATTCAAAAACAAATTTTCTTTGCACTTTCACTCTAACATTCTTGTTGAAACATAAGTCTTTATCAAGATCAACTTTACTCTTCTTATAACTTTGCCATCAACTTTACCTACAAAACAAAATTAAGTTTTGATTTTTGATACCCAAATTTGCTTGGGTCCATGGGGGTTAGTGCTTAAAGTTCCTTTTGGAACCCAAATTTGCTTCACTTTACCTTGAGCTATCAATCTCTTCAAAGGACATACGTAAGCAAAGTGTTCATTTGCACCACAACAATAGCAAGTAACATTAGGATGATAGGATTGACTTGCTCTTACAAAAGAATTCTTGAAAGTCTTTTGCTTTTTAGAATAATCAAATTCAATGCCCTCTTTGTCATAAATACTTCTTTGAGATTTTAAGATAGAATCAAATTTTTCTTTACTCAAGGTAAATTTGGAAATCATATTCTCAAGATCACAAGCTTTTCTCTTTAACACCTCATTTTCCTTCTTTAAATCCTCATTTTCCTTCTTTGCATCCTCATTTTCCTTTTTCAAAGCATTACTAGACTCCTCATTCTTTAATGATGCAATTTCACCATCTAAAGAGGCATTTTCTTTAACTAAAACCTCATTTTGTTTTGAAAGAGATACAATCTCACTTTTAAGCAATGACATGGTTTTAGTAAGAGCAAGATTCTTATTTCCTAGTTTCTTGATATCATTCATAGAGCAATCAAGAACTTTGCATAAATCATCATAAGAATACTCAAAAGAACTTTCATTAATTGAACTAGAAAAGTTAAAGTTTACCTCCTCATCATTGTTGCTATCCTCTTGAGCCATGAAGCAAAGATTTGCAACACCATTCTCCAAGGAGCTCTTACTTTCCATTGAGCTAGCATCATCATCACTCCAAGTGGCGGCAAAGGCTTTCTTCTTCATGCTCTTCTTGTTTTTCCTTTCACCCTTCTTCAATTGAGGGCATTCATTTCTATAATGCCCCATCTTGTTGCACTCATAGCATTTGATATGCTTCTTGCTTGGCTTTCCTCTATCATCATCATCACTATATATTCTTCCTCTAGAATAGTGAATTTCCTTGTTTCTTCTAGAGGATGTCCCTTTGAGGCTCTTCTTCATGTATTTCTTCACTTCCTTTGAAACCAATTTGGTGATGTCCTCCTCATTGCTAGACTCATCATTACTAGCATCATCTTCACTCTCTTCCTTTTGATTGCTAGCCTTGAAAGCAACATTCTTCTTCTTCTTCTCAACTACTACAACTCCACAATCAACTTGAACTTTTATTTCATTTGTCATCAATTTTCCAATGAGATCTTCAAGCTTGAGAGTGTTGAGATCCTTAGACTCTTCAATTGCGATATTCTTGGCTTCCCAATTCTTGGACAAGCTTCTAAGAACCTTCCTCACCACTTCTTGAGAAGGATAGACTTTACCAAGAGCCTTGAGATTGGTGACTATATCATTCAATCTTGTACACATATCTTGAATGCTCTCCTCCGGTTTCATCTTGAAAAGCTCATACATGTAAATGAGTCTATTGATTTTTTACTCCTTCACTTGGCTTATTCCTTCATGTGTTACCTCCAACATGTCCCACATCTCCTTAGCCATATTACACCCGAAAACTCTATGGAATTCCGTTGGATTGAGAGCACATTGAAGCATGTTGATTGCTTTGTTGTTGATCATGATCTTCACCAAGTCTTCATCATTCCATTCAACTTCTTCCTTTGGCACCTCACTTTCCCCAACTACTTTCATAGGCACATATGGACCTTTTATAGTCATAATCCATGCCTTGGGCACATTTGCAAGCATGAAGACCTTCATCCTATTCTTCCAATACTTATAATTAGTACCATCAAAGAAAGGAGGCTTAGTGGTAAACAAACCTTCAAGTGGTTGAGAAGCTTGAAATTGATCCATCCTTGATCAACTCCTAGGTGGTTAAACCTTCAAATTGGAGCCCTTGCTCTGATACCAATTGTTGACTCAATGCACTCCAAGAGGGGGGTGAATTGGAGTTGGAAAATTTTCATCTCTTTGCAACCACCAAACAAAAATTAAAGAGAGAGTGGAGAAGAAGAGCTTGCACAATGATTTTATAGAGGTTCGGTCAAACCACTTGGAGCCTAATCCTCTACCTTGGCTTCACTCACCAAGGATTTCCTCCACACTCTCCACTAACAAAAACAATGATGGCTTAAAGAAGCCACTCAATCCTTTACAAGAAAAAGGGTGTTTCTCTCAAATCTCACCCCTTTACACTTAAACCCCAAAGATCCTCTCTATAGATCACTCTTGAAAGAATCAACACACCCCCAAGATCACTCACTAATAGCACAAGAAGGTGATTACAAACAAAGATCTCTCAAATATCAAAATCTCTAGTTAAAGCTCATGTAGATAGGTAAAGATATTCAATACAATGCTCTCTAAACTTCTTCAAATCTCTTACCAATCACATTTATAGCCCCTTGCTCGAAAATAGCCGTTTCTAGCCATTGGGGGTCATTTAATGCTCTGCAGGTCGCTTAATTCGAGTTGCAGAATTGTCAGTAGAGCCGGCATACACTTTTAGATCCGGCTCTCTGCACTTCCACAACCGGCTACCATTTTTTACAGCCGGCTCTCTGCACATTTTCAAGCCTTTTGGTTTATTTTTAATGCAGTCCAAGTTTACTTATTTTGCAATCTTTTGACATTTTAACTACACACTTAAATGAACCAATTAGTCACTCAAATGTGTTTTGTAATCATCAAAATTATAGGTACAACAAATTTAAGTTAATTTCTTAAAAATAAAAATTTTAAATGAGAAATTAGTTTAATATTTTTCAAATAAAAATTTATTTCAACACAATAATTTAAAAAAAATTTACACCTCATTCATAAATAATTTAATAATAATTTACTTATCTTGTAAATATAAAATTTTAAATTTTAATTACATAATATATTAATAAAATAAGTAAAAAATAAAAAAATATTATCTTATATTATATATTAATTTTTTTTAAAAATCCCCTGTCCCAATATGCAAGCTCACATATTTCGTGAGAGAATCAGACTTCAGACGCCATCTCCATCCATAAAATGCTAACGA